GTATTCCTTACATGTTAAAGGTTTTACATGCTGCAATAATGTTGCTTTTTTTCAGGGGAAAAGAAATGATTTATGAGTTATGAACGCTTAGAAGATATCTTGTGAACAATCCCATTTCAGGTTAACAAAATGTATTTGTTAAGTTCTCTAGTAGTTTTTGTTATTTCAATCGTATCCCAAGTGTTCTAAACAAGTTAATGAAAATGCATTAACCAATGATTATGTTAACAGTTTATTATTATTACAGCTTAAACTACAATTTATTTTCAATAATAAAAATTATCATTAGTTATTAAATCAAATTCAATTTTACCACATTTATAACTTAAAGAATATTTCCTTATTAAGATTAACAACACTGTTCATGCAAGGAGTTTAATAAAACTCAATTATTATTTTTATTCAACATTGAATGTTTTTGAAAACCCATGTGACTGAAGATGAATTGCAAGGAAGCATAAATGAAGATCCATGAAGGAAAGTGTTACTCAGGCAAAATCAAGCCAAGAAAACTAATATAAACTTTGTATTTAACTTTGAAGAAGAGAACCATGAACATTCAGTGATTTTTTTTTGTGTAAACAAAATTAACCATTAAATAACTACGTTCCACTAATTCCAAATTAAAAACAATTATCCTAATCCATTTGACTTATTACTCTATTTCATTTTGGAAAGATAATCATCAACATTTCATGACATATTAAGGAATCTTACTACTATAAATGGGGAATCAAACATCATAAGTGTGGGCTTAATTGATGGAAAGTAAATAAAAGAAACGTCTTATAACACCTAACACATATATTTACTCTTAAACTGTAACTCACAAGACGGTAAATATACAAAAAATATGGTAAGTCGTGATCGATTTCAATTGGGCACCCCAATCATCATAAGACCCAATAGGCGAATAATATTATTGATATAAAAGTTATTCTTAATTTGCTCAAAATAACAATCAATCCAGAATTCCTAATTAAAATAATGTGTGTGTGGTTTAGTAGTTGTAAGCTACGAGAGGTAAAAAAATCTTATCAGAGCTTTTAGTTGTTTTAATTGAATAGCTTCTTTTGTAGCACACTTTATACTTAACGTTTATATTAATTTATTATATTTATCAAAATAGGTATCATTCTAAATTATATCCATGCACTTTTAATGTCTTAACAAGTTATTTTTTCTTTATGTAGAGCTTTGAATTTCTAATAAAGACGGAATCATGTGTCGGGTCTCAAGTATTCAATTTAATATTCACGCTTCGAGGCAAGGTAGGATGTTTTATTCAGTCAGTCGTACCGGGAGTTATAACTTCTGGCGGAATGCAAAGAAATGAAACCACTGCTTGGAAAATATTGGCTGTAGGCAAATGCTGCATTATACAACTTAAATGGTGTGAGCTCTAGCTTTTTAACAAAATAATCGAAAAAGGTTCCTGGTAAAATTGCTACAGAAGATTAATCTCGGTATACGTTCATTACACATGTTAGCACTAATTAATTATATTGTCATTATATCATACAGTACATACAGCGAAATCCTAGATCTATGATGCATAATAATCGTTCATTAATAAAGTTGCTTGTACTTTAAAACTGATTGCGTTATTAATTAAGCTGAATTATAAAGCCTAGTTATGGTATCTCGTTTTGTTTACATATTCTATGCTAAACATAGTTTGTAAAGTATGAGTGATGATTTGAAATATATCATATAACATAATATATACTCAGTATCCCATTATTATTTTTTCTTAAAGACCCTTAACTACTGTAACTAGTTGTTACAATAACCAATATACATGTATATTTTTTAACTGAAAACCACAGAATGTTTATAGGCCTTCATTTTACTACTCATATACTCTGAAAATAAACAAGTTAGCTAAAACACAATAATTAGTTTTCCTGTAAAACATTGTTTCATCTTATTGTGTTTTACATCAATACACATACAACATCAATTCACACAAGTTTGTTAACAAATTATACATAAATAGTTTTCTTTATGTTGTTTAGTATTCCTTTTTATGAGCATAAAAAAATATGATACAATAAAAGAAAAACGTAGTTCGCACTATACAAGTGTGTACAGAACTTACAATTAACATATATTAGTTATTATATCCAATTTCTTCATCGGGTTACTACTTTTAAAGGTTAATTGGATGCATTTGTGCGGACTGAGTTTATAAAGTAGCAATTGTTTCGTTCCCTATATGGGATGAATACTGTAATGTTCACTTTTAAATACTGCAGTGTGGCTAGGATTATACTAGGACGCTAGCGTCCGAGAGGCTGGCGTCCGGGACGCTAGCGTCCCACTTCGAGCCGATAAATTGCGTGATTTGTGTTGGGACGCTAGCCTCTCGGACTACTATTTTATCAATGTTTTGTCACTTTTTGTCAGTCGTCAATATGGCACCAACGAATGAAGAGATGTTGCTGATGATGTTATTAATTAAGAAAAGAAGGTTTAGTGTAGACCCGTTTTTTTGCTGTTAAAAGCCTGTATTTTACATTGTTTGATGATCTTTGCAATAGTGAAACAAGATTTTTTAATTACTTTAGAATGTCACTTCCTTCTTTCAAAGAGCTTCTAGGCTACCTCCAAAGTGACATATTTATAAAGATACAAGATTCCTCAGACCAATTTCACCCGAAGAGAAACTAGTCATAACTCTGAGGTAAGATATAACACAATGACTAATTTCCTATTGGGAAGTAGCTATTACCATAAGTGGCACGATTTAAGACCTAGGCCCAGGACCGATTTACTTTTTTCATTCTTATGTCCCCAGAGGCCAAAAAAAAAAATTCGTTCAAATTTTTATATAGGTATATAGGTATATATATATATATATATAGGCATATATATATATATATATATATATATATATATATATATATATATATATGCATATATGAACACGATAACTTGCGTAATTTATGTACGATTTTGATGAAATTTGGTTGAAAGACAAGGCGGGTTAAACTTGAATGAGTTCATGAACCAGCACGATCAGACCATGGGAACGGGGTTTTAGAGGGTAACATTTTTTTCATTTTTTTACCCTTAAAACATAAAATTTCCCAATGTTTCTAAACCTTCTTAAAGAGCTTAAAAAACAAAAATTTAGTATATCAAAATGTTTTTGTACGGTGATTGGTTACGGAGAAAACTAAAAAAGATTTAAATTTAACTTTTACATGTTATTCTTAGGAGAATATTGTAAAATGTTGTAGTTTGCTTGTTTATGGATATATTTTGAAAACCCCCACAGTAGTTCCCTTGTAGCAGCAAACCTAGGTCCTCGTTAAACCTAATGTTATTTAAATAGATAAATTGAAAATCAATTCAGCCAAAATGGAAATTCGCTTAGTCGGCAAGTTTGCTGCGGCGGGGGTATTTACAGTTAGGTAGACTACATGTACAGCATTTCTAAACCAAAATAAAGGAATGTGATGGAACATTTTATAAATTGCTTTAATTCGGAGGCGTTTTATCAAGATCCAGTTTAACATGAATTTATTAACTTAGCCTAAATAACAATTACACAACTTAAAGTTCAAATCATTGGTTATAATACTTTGTCATGGTACTGCACTTCTGATAAATGTAAAATAACTGTGTCACCATTTGGTCAATATTTTGATTTGAATGCAGTTATGTCTACCCCAAAAAAGTGAAATTGCTAGAACTTGATGAATCATAGTCATGAAACGAGTCTGTGGAACTAGAAAAGTGCTGGTGGGGTGGGAATTTGATTGTGTAGGATAAGTTGTACCATTCATATTTTGAGGACCGAAACAAGGAAACTGATGTTGGTTGAACGAGGCATTAATCGTTGGTTGTGGGTGTGAAGCAGGGTGGGTTGTCATTGAATGAGCTGGATTGCCTGATTGGAAATGGAAGGTTGGGAAACCAAACGGAGGCTGGTTGTGATTTGACTGTTGAGGGGGCCAAGGAGTGGGAAGATATGGTGCTGTTGGAGCCTGTGCATTAGCTATCACTGAGAGAATATCCGATCGAACTTTTAACTTCCTTTCCTGTGGTATAAGCTTAATCTCTGGTAACAAAGAAAGTAAGAATAATTTGTCCCCATCAGTCTCTTCACTTCTTTCTTGCACCTCACCACTGACGACTCTCTTTTTTAATACTTCAATTAACTCTTCGTCTTCATTCCTGTTTTTACGCTTTGTTTTCTTCTGTTTGTCAGTTTCGGTAGTTCTTGTTTCATCATCCAACACTTCTGTAGTTTCTAATTCTGTTTCAGACGTATTGTCATTGGAATTAATAATTGAGTCCGATGTTTTTTTTTTGTTACTGGATCCAAGAAGCGAAGTTGTTCGAAGTACATGTATTGCTTTCGAGGTTTACAGCTAGAGCCAGATTTTTGTTCTGATTTTCTTTTGAGAATCTCTCTAGAATAGCAACCACGGACATGTTTCCATTTTTTCATGACAATTTTGCCTGAAATAAAAAAAAAACTCATTAAACAGTACCAAATTAAAAATAGCTCATGTTTGTAATAGTTTACATTCGGCCAAAAGGTTTTTAATTTTATTAAAAGGATATTAACATTTCAAAAAAGGAGGCCTAGTTAAAAAATTTGTAGGCCTATAATTACTTTCCATTGTACTTTTATTTATATTTTAAATTAACATCAAGTATGATTAAATGATCAATTTCTTTACAGATACTTCGCTACTGGAAACTCTATATCTGACTTAGGATACCAGTATCGAGTGAGTCAGCCTTGTATATCTGGAATTGTGCGGGATGTTACCAACGCAATTTGGAAACACCTTAAACCAATATGCTTTCCAGATTTTTGTGAAAAGTTTTGGTTAAAAACGGCAACAGAATTTTATGAGAAAACTAATTTTCCTCATTGCATTGGAGCGATTGATGGGAAACACGTGAGAATTAAAAAACCAAAAGACAGTGGTTCATTGTATTATAATTATAAGAACTATTTCTCCTTGGTTTTAATAGCAATGTGTGATGCTTCATACAAATTTACCTATATTGACGTGGGTTCATACGGAAAGTCTGCAGATTCAACAGTGTGGAAAGAAAGTACGTTCTATAAACTGCTTCAGGAAGGGTCGCTCAACATACCATCACCAAAAACCTCATTTACGGGGTTGAGTGATGCAATGCCATTTGTGTTAGTAGCGGATGAAGGGTTTGTGTTGTCTAACAATATCCTAAGGCCGTATGCAGGAAAATCACTATCGGAAAAGAAAAGAATTTTCAATTACCGTCTGTGTCGTGCAAGAAGAAACATTGAATGCTCTTTTGGCATATTAGCTAATAAGTGGCGTATTTTTCACCACCCGATGGATGTTGACATTTCTTTGTGCGAAGACATAGTGAAAGTGTGTTGTGTGCTGCACAACTTCATTCGGGACAGAGATGGGTGTAGGGTTGAAGACTGTCTAAGTATTGAAGGTTTGTACGATATTGATTTAGAACATTGTGAGCAGCCTGGAAAAGCAACAGAGCTGAGGGACACATTCGCGGACTACTTTGTTTCCAAAGAGGGAGCCGTTCCATGGCAGTTGGACCGCATCTGATTAGTTATTTAAAGAAATAACTCCATCATGTTTATCAAATTTTATTAAAGTAAAACAAACTAACCCGTCTTTGTTTTCATGATGTGTACTGGTTTTTGTTTTAAAAGTAACGAGGTGTTAGCCCGTCCTATGTACGGGAATTGAGTAGTCAGTTGAAACTGTGTACAATTCAGAACGGCTAGTTTACACGTATAAAGAAAAATTGTCTTGCAGTTTAAATGTGAGAAATCATTGTGTAAACAAATGTTGCCTGACCAAATATGTTTTAAATCCCATCATAGGCCTATTTGATATGCATTTTAAATCCGACAATTTCACAATGAAACAGTAATTGTGCCGATGTGAAAAGGGTTGAAGTGAGATTTGCAACCGATTCGCACACTGTCCGTCTCCCGATTATAAGTAGCCTACAGAAGAGAGAGTAATTAGGTATCAATTAAATAGTTATTTTCCTACTCTTTCCTCAGAAAGTCGAGCAGTAAAATAATTTGGATATCCTTTTCTTTTAAGACTCGTGTACAGAGAATTGATTTGTAGGCTATACAAAAATGGTCTTAATTATCATCTGTGGTCTACTTATTTCTAATAATCTTACTTATTTCCTCTAATCAATGACAAAATCAAAGAGTAAATAAAATAACCTCATAGCTCAATAGAATATTTTTATATATAACCAACTGTTAGTTAAAACATACTAGATTGCACTAAAACAAACCGAAGATTACAAAGATTGCTTACAAAATTATTTGAGCACCCTAGTATTTTACTATGTATATTTAATTAATCTGTAATCATCTTACCGAAGAATTGAACGTATCAATGATTAGCATTACACATAGTTTAAATAAGTCAACACTACGTATGTCTTTTAATTTTAATCCAAATGCTGAATTTGTGTCACAAACGCGGAATGATTAGCCTACAGCTGTTGTGTCAAGCAAATTATATTATACCATTTTAAGCTAGTTTAGAATGTTAGCGTCGGCTACTAGACTTTTTAAAAATTAAAGCTTAATTTCTAAAAAAACTGGGACCCTTAACTAAAATGTTGGCTTCGACATTCCCTAGTTCTCAAAATTATCTTTCTTTCAACACAAAAATCAAGAAAATCCGTCAAGTAGTTGATTCAGAATCGTGAAATAAAAAAACCCTGTCACGTTTTAATATTATAGAATATGATGGTATAGGTCTACAGAAAACACTCTTATTTTTTAACATGTAAATGCATGACTATGAATAATGAATATGTAAATAAACTAAATACCAGTACTATAAGTAGAAAGTAGGTAAACTGAGCAGATATATCAATAAATAACCAATTTCATCCCTTTCAAACTGTGTCAACTCTTCAAAATCCACAATGACTGAAGTGACGACAGCTCTCCATGCATTCAGTTTGTCATTTTTGTTGGCGTAGCTTTCTGAACTACTATCCCAAATACAAGGATGTTTTTCCACTTCACATATTAAATTTTCTATGTCCAATTTATTATCAACATATTTTTCAATCCGTTTTAACTCTTCCTCTTTCTTTTTCATCTTCAATTCTTGATCTTTTTGTTTGGTTTTAGGCCTAGGTCCCGGTTCTTCCAGAACCAAGCCTTCCGAAGAAGCATTTCCAATGTCATCCAAAACACTTTCACTCACTTCATGAAACATTTCACTTTCCATCACAAAATACTAAACTAGATTCTTCTCTCGAGTCAAGAGTGATTATTGTGAAATTAGCTGCAGCAGTTAATTACCCTGATTACAATGATAAACCGTGATATATGATTATCCGCGATAATCAGAAATTAGTGAAGAAACAAATTGTGAACTGAATGCAAACTGAACAAATGTAAACAAAGTCACAACAATATAATAATATAGAATTAACCACATGTTATAAACAAAACATTAAAACAAACACGATGATCAGTCAGCTGACTCAGACCACCACGTGATCAAACTGCGTACGCGCGCACATGTCAAAATAGAGCGTCCCAGCTCGGACGCACAAAATCGAGCGTCCGGTGGCTTTTTTTAGCATCCGACGCTGGCGTCCCTAGTATAATCGTCCCCATTTGATTTAATGCCCCGCTAGCGTCCCGGACGCCAGCCTCTCGGACGCTAGCGTCCTAGTATAATCCTAGCCTGTTATATTAATTAGTATAATAAACACGAAGATATAATTTTACCTCTTACCTACCTCTAGATTGTCATAAGTTTATTTATTTTCAAAATGAGGGGTCACTCAATTGTGGTTATTAAAAAAATAAGTCACCCCCGCCCCAAACCCTGTAAAAGGCGTTGAAAAATATTGTTGATGTGAAAAATTGCGGAACCTATGTTAACAATCAATTACACAAAAGGAATATTTCTATCTATTTCGGTTTTAAAAATACAGATTTTTTTCCATATTTGTGAAATTGGTGCTTTTTCACATACAGTAGGTCAAATTTTGGAACACCTGTCATTTTCCCTAGGGATAAGCTACCCACCTCGGGTTTGCGTAGTTGTGTTTATTTTACAAATCCTTCAAAATGAGGGGTCACTCAATAGCGGTTGCTATTTGAAAAAAATAAGTAACACCCTACCCCCTACCCTGTCGCAGGGTAGACAAATATTTGTTATGTAAAAATTACGGAACCTTTGTTAACAATGAACGCCACAAACAGAACATTTCTATCTATTTCGGTTTAAAAAATACAGATTTGTTTCAAGACTTAATTTACACACTGTATACAGGGTTACAAAAAGTCTAGAAACGGCTTAATATATTTTTAACAAAATCCGTTAGAAAAATCAAAGCTTTCACATCAACTTATATGTATGATAACTACTTTTTGCAAGCATTACCATTTTTTTACTTCCACCAAGGGAGACCTATGAGGAGTAGCTACATAAACTTTAATGTAAGCATAGGTTGATATGCACATCATTTTAAAGGACTGGACAAGCGGTTTTATTGCCGGAAACCGCGTCTCAAAAGGTTCATTTGTTACAAAATGGTGGTTTTCCAAAGTTCTTGCGGAAAATGCCTGTAATTAATCTAAAACGTAAGCGTATGTTTCAACAATCATAAATGAGTGTACTGGATATAGGCCGTTGTTACTTTAGTTAAGTTTTTTTTTTTAAGTTTACGGGTTTTTTCTTTCATGTCGCTCAACGATACTGAAAGGATCGCCCTTTTAATATGCGAGGGTGAGGTAATAATACACGGTCGTATGAGGATGATGTTCACTTATTCAATTATCATTTTCCTTAGAGAACCCCATAGGTAAGTCAAATGCTCAAAAAACCCCAACGCTTGTTTTTGTTCCCAACGCAACTTGGACCTTTTTTTGGTTCCCAGACCAAAGTCCGGGAGGCAGAAGGTTGTCACAACTAAAGATTGTTCTTTAAATGTGTTATAGTCATTCGTTGAATGTGCTCAAGAATCCAGTCGGAAAGTGGAATCAAGTCTTCTCAGTCAGTTTTGAATATCCTAAGAGAGGCTAAGTTTAAGCCATATACATGAATCAGTCTGGTCCAAGAATTAAACGAAGATGACTTCGATCGTCATGTGGACGTTTGCGAATTGGTGATGGCCAACATTTATAGCTATGAAATTGACATAAATAATAGTGTTTTTGGATGATTGTTAGTTTTCTCCGAATGGTACTGTAAATTTAAAGAATTGCCAATATTGGAGTTATATTTACCCGCAGTGAATGACGGAAGCTCAAACTCAACGACCGCGAAACGTTAACGTGCGGATGGGAGTTGTAGGAGGACAGGTGTTGGGGCCATTTTTAGTAGATAGCAATTTGAATTGGCCATCTTATCTTAACATGCTTCAAAATGATATTGTCCCAGCTCTTAAAATCATGTTTGGACCTGATTAACCGGTTTGTTTCCAGCAGGATTGGAGCGCCGCCACACCATGCTGCAGATGTTAGAAGTTATCTGATGTGACTTTTCCACTACAGAAGATTGACAGGTGGGAAGCAATAGAATGGCCTGCTAGGTCTCCAGATTTATCTCCATTGGACTTTTTTATGTGGTGTCATCTTAAAGTTAAGAGAACGCATCTTTCATGAACCTCATTCAATACCTATTAGAAGTATTCAAAACTAAGTAAAATGGTTTTAACATCGTATGGCTTATTGCCGAACGAATAGAGGTACCACTTTGACATTTACTGTAAAAAGTGGAAAAGACCAAGTTCCAACCATGAACTCATCACATGCATTGATTGTTAAAAAAGTTGTTATGAGTACGTCATAGTTTTAAATACTCATACACTGTAATTTATTCTTATAAATTCAACTAGCTTTTAGACTAATGTTATTCAATATTCAAAACAATTTAAGCGGGTTTCAGCTCACTAGCTAATGTTGATTACGAGGTATTTACCAATACTAAGGCCTGTGCATGTATTTTCTGCAAGAACTTTGGACAGCCATCATTCTGTAACGGCTGAACCTTTTGAGACGCAGCTTCCGGCAATGAACTCCACTTGACCAGCCCTTTAAAAATATGTACATATCAACCTATACTTACATCACAGATTATGTACCTAATCCTCATATATCGTCCCCTGGTGGAGGTCAAAAAATGTTAACGCTTGCAAAAAGTAATTTCATACATAAAAACAAGTTGATGTGTAAGGGTTGAATTTTCTAACGGGAATTTAGTTAGTGGGGATAAGCCGTTTCCAGACTTTTTTGTCACCCTGTATAATCATAGGGTAAGTTACTCATGAATTATTTGACAGAATCACAACTTTTTGCCTAAATTTAAAATGTATTCGTTAACATTTTAACATATTTATGTATGCTAATCGCATTCCTAAATATGGACCAGAATTTGAGTTTAACAATAGAACGTTGAACACGACCGGTGCCTGAAATTGACTTACTTAATTCACGGAATCACCGCAACTTAGAAACATTTTGAATTGCAAATTCTAATAAGATAACAGCGATCGTTAGAAGTATTCTTACTGAAATGGAAGTTTTGCTTGGATAAACCTT